GGTGTCTCTATTTGGGACCACTGTCACTGAGGAAGGAAGTGATGGAAATCCAAAAGTGTTGTCACCAGAACAGGAACAGAGGGGGGATCTTCCAATGGGGACACTTGTTCTTGGTACACACGGATTAAAGGAGAACTATGAGGGGGAGGGGGTTTTCACTCACCTCATAGTTCTAGCCGACCTGTGACAATGAGACTGTCACAGGTCGGCTCAGTAGATCGGGAGGTGAGAGAACACACACCGGCGTTCGCTCACCTCTCGATCCTGTCACGGCTCTCTGCCGTGACAGGGGGAGGGGCTGGATTCCCCCCTCCCGCTCAGATCCGTCAGCGCTGACTGGGGGAACGGACGGGGGAGGGGGCGGGTACAGCTGGCTCTGCCTCTAGATAGGCGGAGCCAGCTGTCACTCACGCAGCTGGGCGGATCCAGACATAATTGTCGGGCTCCGCTCCGGCTGCGGCGTCTCAGTATACCGCGAGCTGTAGCTCCCTATATACTGAGCCCAGGGTGACGGGAGGACGCTAGTTTGTGTCCTCCCGTTACCCTAAGGAGAACTATGGGGAAAAGCCCCGACCACATAGTTCTCCTTTAAGGGACACATAATACAGTATATAGGGAACGTTTATTATTAATTGGACTCGGCTACATAATAGATAACCTGTATCTTCCAATGACGCCCCCTTCCATTGACAGATGACAGATTAGGCTCGCGATATACTGTGCTTAGGGTGACGGGAGGATGCTAGTTTGTGTCCTCCCGTTACCCTAAGGAGAACTATGGGGAAAAACCCTGACCCCATAGTTCTCCTTTAAATTTTGGCCAATTAAGCAGGAAGTGACCGAAACTCTTCCCTCGAAGGAAGTCGATCATTAGAATAACTTTTGCTGAAGGAACATGTTGGAAATTCCTCAGGTGAATGGTTATTGCAGCCAATCAGCTACAAGCACCGTTCGTGCATTCTGACCGCTGTCGGGATACAGAGCTCACAGCGGGTAATAACAGGAATCTGTTATACTTGTTGTATCTTTAGAACAGGAAGTGTGTAAACAAGTCAACATCGGAGATATACAGTGTGAAACAGATATCGCTTTATGCGTCAGTCTTAGTCACAGCTCTCCATTAGAGAAAGACGGCTGATAAAACGACACCATCCGTAGAATAGCGGGAGGGACGACCAATCAGCCAGCTGCGTACTAAGGAAACAAAGTATACTTACAAGAATCAAGGAAACTTTGTAACATTATAGCAATCCAGGAATACACGTTAGACGGCAGATCAAACTATAAATAGTAGAGGAGAAGGAGCTTTCCTCTCATTTCCTGTTGCGTCTTAAGGACAGGAAGTGCGGGGAAAATATAACCCAATAGGGGGGGGGTTTAACCCTTCTTCACTCTTTCCAGAACCGGTAAAATACAATTCGGCTAAACATACACTTTAAAGTGACACTAAACTCCGGAGTGCAATCCTGCCCCCATTGAACGAAGCCTCGCCCCTGCCAGCTGAAGCCCCACCCCCAACCCGTCCCCAAGCTAGTGTAAAGGAGGAAGGGAGGAGACAGGGAGGAGCCTCCCTGTCCCTCACTTGCTCCTCACTGCTGAGGCGCTCCGTCCATGACAGGTTACATAGCGGGGAGGATGTTAGATGCCGATCTGATTGGAGAAAAAGCTGTCAGCTTCAGACAGGAAGCTGGAGGATCTCCAGCCGAGTGATACACAATTAAGATACATTGTTGCTCAGAGTTCGGGAACTTCAATGTAACTTCGGAGTTTCCTGTCCCTTGAATATCTGATACACATACAGTATATATATAACTCTTCTTACTTACATCTGATTGGCCGCCACCAGCAGGTCCGCATTGTCGAACAGCGCCACCTGCGGGACCTCCACGATCATCACATAGACAAAGTTGATGATGAGCATCAGGATGAGTTTCCCGATGCTGCTGATGTGCAGGAAGACGGAGCAGGCGAGGAGGCTGAGGAGGACGCAGTCGGTGAAATACTGCGGAGAGAAGAAACATGCGTCATCGGTCGTGTATGAGAATGAGAGACGAGGGCGACGTTCTGTTGTGTCCGTTGTGATTGGCGGCACCCAAAAGGTACAACAAATGGCCGCCGTTGTTGAATATTCCCCGGAACCATTGTCGGGATACAATAATATAAAATCTTCTCCATTGTTCTTCTTATAGGAAGAATTTTACCTCTACCGCCAGCGTTTGCGCCATTCTCCTACCAAAGAAACGAAAAGGGGGCGGGGTCGAGATAGGAAGACATTAATGACATCTACCTCGGGGAAGTTGCAGTTTGGGGCGGAGTCTCCACAGAATCCGCTCTCAGTGGCCAGGCTGTAATTCAGGGCGGAGTCCCTGACCCAACAGGCGGTGACGTTCATGGGGGTGACGTTGTACTCGGCGGCCAGACACTCCCTCAGGTTCCTCTTGCTGCACATGAACTGAAAGACAACATTGCACCATTGTTATATTACACGGAGGAGAGGCATTTACAAAGGGGAGGGGCTTCAGATAGACAATATGGGAGGAGCTTATAAAAGAACACAGGAGGAGGAGCGGAGAAAAGGATGTGGGAGGGGTTTACATACAGGGGGACGGAAGGGATTAAAAGGGGAGGGGCTTAGGAGATACTATTTGGGAGGAGCTTATTGCATAGAGAACAGAGGAGGAGGGGCTGAGAAAAGAATGTGGGAGGGGTTTACATACAGGGGGACAAAAGGGATTAAAAGGGGAGGAGCTTAAGATATACTATTTGGGAGGAGCTTTTTGCATAGAGAACAGAGGAGGAGGGGCTGAGAAAAGGATGTGGGAGGGGTTTACATACAGGGAGACAAAAGGGATTAAACGGGGAGGAGCTTAGGATATACTATATGGGAGGAGCTTATTGCATAGAGAACAGAGGAGGAGGGGCTGAGAAAAGGATGTGGGAGGGGTTTACATACAGGGGACAGAACATATTAAAAGGGGAGGAGCTTAAAATATTCAATTTGGGAGGAGCTTATTGCATAGAGAACAGAGGAGGAGGGGCTGAGAAAAGAATGTGGGAGGGGTTTACATACAGGGAGACAAACATGATTAAAAGGGGAGGAGCTTAGGAGATACTATTTGGGAGGAGCTTATTGCATAGAGAACAGAGGAGGAGGGGCTGAGAAAAGGATGTGGGAGGGGTTTACATACAGGGAGACAAAAGGGATTAAATGGGGAGGAGCTTAGGATATACTATATGGGAGGAGCTTATTGCATAGAGAACAGAGGAGGAGGGGCTGAGAAAAGGATGTGGGAGGGGTTTACATACAGGGGACAGAACATATTAAAAGGGGAGGAGCTTAAAATATTCAATTTGGGAGGAGCTTATTGCATAGAGAACAGAGGAGGAGGGGCTGAGAAAAGGATGTGGGAGGGTTTACATACAGGGAGACAAAAGGGATTAAACGGGGAGGAGCTTAGGATATACTATTTGGGAGGAGCTTATTGCATAAATAACAGAGGAGGAGGGGCTGAGAAAAGGATGTGGGAGGGGTTTACATACAGGGGACAGAACATATTAAAAGGGGAGGAGCTTAAAATATTCAATTTGGGAGGAGCTTATTGCATAGAGAACAGAGGAGGAGGGGCTGAGAAAAGAATGTGGGAGGGGTTTACATACAGGGAGACAAACATGATTAAAAGGGGAGGAGCTTAGGAGATACTATTTGGGAGGAGCTTATTGCATAGAGAACAGAGGAGGAGGGGCTGAGAAAAGGATGTGGGAGGGGTTTACATACAGGGGACAGAACATATTAAAAGGGGAGGAGCTTAAAATATTCAATTTGGGAGGAGCTTATTGCATAGAGAACAGAGGAGGAGGGGCTGAGAAAAGAATGTGGGAGGGGTTTACATACAGGGAGACAAACATGATTAAAAGGGGAGGAGCTTAGGAGATACTATTTGGGAGGAGCTTATTGCATAGAGAACAGAGGAGGAGGGGCTGAGAAAAGAATGTGGGAGGGGTTTACATACAAGGGGACAAAAGGGATTAAAAGGGGAGGAGCTTAGGAGATACTATTTGAGAGGAGCTTATTGCATAAATAACAGAGGAGGAGGGGCTGAGAAAAGAATGTGGGAGGGGTTTACATACAAGGGGACAAAAGGGATTAAAAGGGGAGGAGCTTAGGATATACTATTTGTGAGGAGCTTATTGCATAGAGAACAGAGGAGGAGGGGATGAGAAAAGGATGTGGGAGGGGTTTACATATAGGGAGACAAAAGGGATTAAATGGGGAGGAGCTTAGGAGATACTATTTGAGAGGAGCTTATTGCATAGAGAACAGAGGAGGAGGGGCTGAGAAAAGGATGTGGGAGGGGTTTACATACAGGGAGACAAAAGGGATTAAATGGGGAGGAGCTTAGGATATACTATATGGGAGGAGCTTATTGCATAGAGAACAGAGGAGGAGGGGCTGAGAAAAGGATGTGGGAGGGGTTTACATACAGGGGACAGAACATATTAAAAGGGGAGGAGCTTAAAATATTCAATTTGGGAGGAGCTTATTGCATAGAGAACAGAGGAGGAGGGGCTGAGAAAAGGATGTGGGAGGGTTTACATACAGGGAGACAAAAGGGATTAAACGGGGAGGAGCTTAGGATATACTATTTGGGAGGAGCTTATTGCATAAATAACAGAGGAGGAGGGGCTGAGAAAAGGATGTGGGAGGGGTTTACATACAAGGGGACAAAAGGGATTAAAAGGGGAGGAGCTTAGGATATACTATTTGTGAGGAGCTTATTGCATAGAGAACAGAGGAGGAGGGGATGAGAAAAGGATGTGGGAGGGGTTTACATATAGGGAGACAAAAGGGATTAAATGGGGAGGAGCTTAGGAGATACTATTTGGGAGGAGCTTATTGCATAGAGAACAGAGGAGGAGGGGCTGAGAAAAGGATGTGGGAGGGGTTTACATACAGGGAGACAAAAGGGATTAAATGGGGAGGAGCTTAGGATATACTATTTGGGAGGAGCTTATTGCATAGAGAACAGAGGAGGAGGGGCTGAGAAAAGGATGTGGGAGGGGTTTACATACAGGGAGACAAAAGGGATTAAATGGGGAGGAGCTTAGGATATACTATATGGGAGGAGCTTATTGCATAGAGAACAGAGGAGGAGGGGCTGAGAAAAGGATGTGGGAGGGGTTTACATACAGGGGACAGAACATATTAAAAGGGGAGGAGCTTAAAATATTCAATTTGGGAGGAGCTTATTGCATAGAGAACAGAGGAGGAGGGGCTGAGAAAAGGATGTGGGAGGGTTTACATACAGGGAGACAAAAGGGATTAAACGGGGAGGAGCTTAGGATATACTATTTGGGAGGAGCTTATTGCATAAATAACAGAGGAGGAGGGGCTGAGAAAAGGATGTGGGAGGGGTTTACATACAAGGGGACAGAAGGGATTAAAAGGGGAGGAGCTTAAAATATTCCATTTGGGAGGAGCTTATTGCATAGAGAACAGAGGAGTAGGTGCTGAGAAAAGGATGTGGGAGGGATTTACATACAGGGAGATTGGAGGGATTGGAAAAGAGGAGGGGCTTATGGTATAGAGAGATCAGAAGGAGGAGCTTAGAAGAGGATGTAAGAGGGGTTTACACACGGGAGATGGGAGAGATTCAAAAACAGGGGGGAACTTATGAGAAACCATTTGGGAGGAGCTTATGGTATAGAGAGCACAGCAGGAGGAACTTAGAAAGGGATGTGGGAGGGGTTTACCTGCAGGTAGATGGGAGGGATTCAGAAAGGGGAGGAGCTTATGAGAAACCATTTGTTTGGAGCTCATGGTATAGAGAGCACAGGAAGAGGAGCTGAGAAAAGGATGTGGGAGGAGTTTGCATACAGGGAAATTTAATGGATTCAGAAAAGGGAGGAGCTTATGAGAAACATTTTGGAGGAGCTTATGGTATAGGGAACACAGGAGGTGGAGCTTAGAGGAGGCTGTGGGAGGGGTTAACATACAGGAAGACGGGAAGAAGCTGGCGGTTTGGGGAGGAGTATTTAACCTTCCAGAATTGGCATTACCATGTTAACGAAGGAGGAGAGGAAGACGAGGATGATGATGAACACGCCCACTGCGCTGCTGTTCATTCTGGACTGGACGATTTTCTTAGACAAAGTCTGCAGAGGAGCCGGAAAAAGCTGCAAAACAGAGATATGGTTCAGCCAGAGAAGCCCGGATCCTGGGCCGCAGAGCTGACGATTCAAACAGACTTTAAATTAACCCTGCAAAAAGTTTTAGCAAGATCACACAAAACATCCAACGCGTTTCGGGGGGAGTGGCAAAAGCTCCGCCTTCATCAGCGCTGAACGTATTATCAGTACTGAGGTGGAGTTATAACATGCACTGTAACAGACTCACCTGGAAGTGTATGAAGATGATTCAGAGGATCACTGAAGGGATGTGCCAGAGGCAGGGAACCTGATGGGGGGGGGGGCGGAGCCTCCGGACCCGAAATGCATTGGATGTGTGATTTTGCTGAAGAGCCATTAAAACATTTTGGATTCAATTATCTTTTCAAACAAAACTGAATCTCGGCAGCTGGATACAGATAATTAAAGGGGCCAATCACATTATCGCTCTAACTCCGGTTCAGCAGCACTCCACAAAACAGGGGCAGCCCCCTAATGAAAGGGGCGGAGCCAGTGACTGGCAGGCTGGGAATGAAAGGAGCTTCTCTAACCCTCAGGTGTACCACCCAGAGGAGGTATGCAAATATCACAATGCCCTGATGGGTGTCAGTCTGGAGGAGTGGGCGGTCCTAGGCAGGCTGTATTTGCACGCAGACCACCCACATGTGACGCCGGGAGGACGGAGGTCAGATAGAAGACTGAAGGGGAGGACG